ACAAGCCTAGGGTAATTCAATTATGTTTCCCCAGCAAGTATGTGGTTTGCGCTTGTCGTTGCAAGCCTTTGGTTATTTTACCCATGTTTGCTTTGCCATTAGAGTATGAGTAAGAGTCGGTGTATAACCTTTCTAGCTTCTCAAGTGTTTGAGTATCCATACTTGGTGTGTGGTAATTCAGACAATTGCCACTCTTGAAGAATTAACACCCCGCCTTTGGCCTGAGGGATTTTTGTAGTCCTTGCGTATTTGCAACTTATCGAAAGCCCAATATGTTTTGGCAATCTTTGTTAGAGTCTGCTTTGACCAATCTCTTTCTCTTGTAAAGTTCACCTTCGGTCGGTGCTCTTTAAAGGTCCTGCTTAGTCGGTTCCTTGTTTTGGTTTATCCGCGTTAGTCAGGTCTGCCTTTCGTTAGCCTAGCTAACTCTTTATGATTAAGAGTCTTTCAATGTCTCTTCAAAGTCCAGTTTTATGGCGCCCTTGTTTAGGCGAATGCGTCCTTTTCTTATTGGGGCTTTCTTCGGTTAGTCTCATTCCCGTGTTCGCTAACAATTCTAAACATTTGTTTCTTGATGATCAACTTCTCTCTTGTGTATCTAACTCTGACCAGATATACATACCTGTACCGTTTGTTGAGAGTCCCCTTCGGTTGGTCTCTTTGTAGTTGTAAGTTCGCCTTCGACCGACGTTCTTTTCTTAGGAATCTACCTTCGGCATAGTATTCCTTGATGAAGAGTCCCCTTCGGATGGTCTCTTTGCAGTTGTAAGTTCTCCTTCGACCGGCGTTCTTTTCTTAGGAATCTACCTTCGGCATAGTATTCCTTGATGAAGAGTCCCCTTCGACTGGTCTCTTTGCAGTTGTAAGTTCGCCTTCGACCGGCGTTCTTTTCTTAGGAATCTACCTTCGGCATAGTATTCCTTGATGAAGAGTCCCCTTCGGCTGGTCTCTTTGCAGTTGTAAGTTCTCCTTCGACCGGCGTTCTTTTCTTAGGAATCTACCTTCGGCATAGTATTCCTTGATGAAGAGCCCCCTTCGGCTGGTCTCTTTGTAGTTGTAAGTTCGCCTTCGACCGGCGTTCTTTTCTTAGGAATCTACCTTCGGCATAGTATTCCTTGATGAAGAGTCCCCTTCGGCTGGTCTCTTTGCAGTTGTAAGTTCGCCTTCGACCGGCGTTCTTTTCTTAGGAATCTACCTTCGGCATAGTATTCCTTGATGAAGATTCCCCTTCGGCTGGTTTCTTTATCCTAAAGTCCACCTTCGGATGGCACCCTTTAAAGTCCACCTTCGGCTGGCACCCTTTAAAGTCCACCTTCGGCTGGTACCTTTCAAAATCCTGCTTCGGCTGGTACCCTTTGTTAAAATCCATCATCGACTGGTATCGTATGTCGGGAGTCCCATTCGTTTGGCCTCAAGTTCTCCTTCGATTGGCATTCCTTCGTCAGAGCCTTCTTCGGTCGGTATCTTTCTTGTGTATGTCTAACCTTGACCTGACATCCAAGTGATTTTCTCAGATAATTACTACAATCCAAAGAAAACAAAAAATATATAATAACACCTGACTGGCTTCGGAGCGCAAATTTTTGGGTTCTTTTTGTATTTAATCTTCTTCCACCTTGAAGGTTCGAAAGGCTCGCGCCAATCTCACCTTTGGGTTGAAAGCGATTAAATAGGGGCAGCTGTTGCACCCCAAATTTTGCCCTCCTAATTTCTTCTATCTGGCTTAGACTCTCTGCATTCATCTATATTTGGGCATTTTATTTTTGGGCATAGTGAAGAGAAGTTTAGATCATGATGATGGGGTTGCCGAAGCTTTTGATCTTAGTCTTTCAGAAGATCAGTTTATATCACTTTTTCCGACCTCTTTATCGTATTTGAGGTTAATTTTGGAGAGATTTGGGGATCTGAGTCACAGAGCTTTTAAAAAGATTCCGTACTTTTATTCAAAAATCCTTTTAAAAGGTTTTAGTCAGTGGAAGAGCTTTTTGTCCAAAGACATATTTGAGGAAGAGTATGGAGAATTTGTCCCATCATCTGTTCAAGAGCTTCTCTGTCTTACTGATTGTAGTCTCCTTAGAAAATCAATCAATAGGTTGCAGTATCACTTTGCTCTTAATGGAGATTCTCTGAAACTGAAGAACCGTTTGAAGCTATTCAAATCCATTTGGCCCACACTTGCCTTGCATGATGAGCTGATGGACTGTCATAGTCAATGTATTGATAGTTATTCTCTTTGCCAGTCTTTCAACATAATCAATCACGTTGTCGCGAAGATATCACTTTGTAAAAGGTTACTATTTCATGATGAAGAAGGTGGGGATTTGAAAGATGTTGCTCAACCTAATTTTCAGCAAAAGATGACAGTGCTTCGTTTTCTAGAGAAACTTTGTCTTGATTCACAGATATTGGTTGACATATTTATCAATTATGACTGCGATGTCAATTCATCAAACATATTTGAAAGGATGGTCAACGGACTTCTTAAAACCGCCCAAGGTGTCCCTCCTGGTGTATCAACTACAGTTTTGCCACCTCAAGAGGCAACTCTAAAACTTGAAGCCATGAAATGTTTGGTTGCTATTTTAAAATCAATGGGAGACTGGATGAACAAGCAAATGCGCATTCCAGATCCTCATTCAAGCAAGAAGAGTGAAGCAGTTGATAACGGCCATGAAACTGGAGATTTTCCCATGGCAAATGGGAATGGAGAAGAATCAGTTGAAGGATCAGATACTCATCCTGAACTCTCCAATGAGGGGTCAGATGTTTCTACTATCGAGCAACGCCGGGCTTATAAACTAGAACTTCAGGAAGGTATATCACTTTTTAATAGGAAGCCAAAGAAAGGAATTGAGTTTCTCATCAAGGCCAACAAAGTGGGTAACTCACCTGAGGATATTGCTGCTTTTCTTAAAGATGCATCTGGGTTAAACAAGACTTTGATTGGTGATTATCTTGGAGAAAGGGAAGATTTATCCTTGAAAGTAATGCACGCCTATGTGGATTCTTTCGACTTTCAAGGGATGGAGTTTGATGAGGCAATCAGGATGTTTCTTCAAGGCTTTAGACTGCCTGGTGAGGCACAGAAAATTGATCGAATCATGGAAAAGTTTGTTGAACGTTATTGCAAATGTAATCAAAAAGTATTTTCTAGTGCTGATACAGCATATGTCCTTGCATATTCTGTAACTTTGTTGAACACTGATGCTCACAATCCTATGGTGAAAAACAAGATGTCTCCTGATGATTTCATAAAAAACAACCGTGGCATAGATGATGGAAAAGATCTACCAGAGGAATACTTGAGGTCATTGTTTGAGAAAATATCTAGAAATGAGATCAAAATAAAGGATGTTGATCTGGATCACCAACAAATACAGACAGTGAATCCTAACAGGCTATTAGGCTTGGATAGTATATTGAATATTGTGGTCCGTAGGCGGGGGGATCACAATCATAGGGGGACCAGTGATGATCTAATCCGTCGTATGCAAGAAGAATTCAGAGAAAAAAGCACGCAAAACTGAATCAGTCTATTATGCAGCAACTGATGTAGTAATCCTTAGATTCATGATTGAAGTGTGCTGGGCACCAATGTTAGCTGCTTTTAGTGTTCCTCTTGATCAAAGTGATGATGAAATTGTAATAGCCCTGTGTCTTGAAGGCTTCCGCAATGTTGTTCACGTTACATCAGTAATGTCAATGAAGACACATCGAGATGCTTTTGTGACCTCATTAGCGAAGTTTACCTCCCTGCATTCTCCTGCTGATATTAAGCAGAAAAATATAGACGCAATCAATACAATAGTTACTATTGCTGATGAGGATGGGAATTACTTGCAAGAAGCTTGGGAACATGTTTTGACCTGTGTTTCCCGATTTGAGCATCTACATCTTCTTGGAGAGGGGGCTCTACCAGATGCCACATTCTTTGCTTTTCCTCAGAATGATTCTGATAAAGTAAAGCAAACTAAAACAACTATTCTTCCAGTTTTGAAGAAGAAGGGGCATGGGAGGATGCAGTATGCAGCTGCCTCGCTGATGCGTGGTTCATATGATAGTGCTGGAATCGGCAGTAATGCTGCTGGAGCTATCACATCAGAGTGGGTGAACAGTCTAGTTTCTAATTTGAATATGTTGGAACAAGTTGGAAGCTCAGAAATGAATCGGATATTCACGCGGAGTCAAAAGTTGAATAGTGAGGCCATAATAGACTTTGTTAAGGCTTTATGCAAGGTCTCCATGGAGGAACTAAGATCGCCATCCGATCCACGAGTTTTCAGCCTTACAAAGATAGTGGAGATTGCGCACTATAATATGAACCGCATCCGGCTTGTATGGTCAAGCATTTGGCATGTTCTTTCAGATTTCTTTGTAACCATTGGTTGTTCAGGAAACCTTTTGATTGCAATTTTTGCTATGGATTCCTTGCGTCAGTTGTCAATGAAATTTCTAGAGCGGGAAGAGTTGGCTAACTATAATTTCCAAAATGAATTTATGAAGCCTTTCGTGATTGTTATGAGAAAGAGTAATGCTGTTGAAATTAGAGAACTTATTATCAGATGTGTCTCTCAAATGGTTTTATCTCGTGTCAACAATGTCAAGTCAGGATGGAAGAGCATGTTCATGGTATTTACAACAGCAGCATATGATGACCACAAAAACATCGTACTCTTGGCTTTTGAAATTATTGAACAGATTATTCGAGATTACTTTCCATACATCACTGAGACTGAAACTACCACCTTTACAGATTGTGTCAATTGTCTAATTGTATTCACCAATAGTAGATTTAACAAAGAGATTAGCCTTAATGCCATCACGTTTCTTCGATTCTGTGCAGCAAAACATGTCAAATGAGCATGCACAATCTCAGGATGCACTGAAATCTGATTTTTGAAACTCATGGCGAACCCAATGTCAACAATGCATTGAACATGAAACGTGTTTTTATGGATACAGAAGAAAGCCTGAGTAAGGTTGATAGCTTCTCTAGGTGGATGTCTACAGCATTTGCATCGGTGGATGATCTGCACATGCAGTCTTCCCTTGGTATTCCATGGGGCACAGATGAATGTGGGAATATGATAGATGATACCTCATTGAACCTTTCCCTATCTCAAGACCAGCCCTTTAGCATACATGATTTTTCACCTAGACGGGCTTATGCTGAATCAGAAATTCAGATGTTTATTATTGGAACACTTTTGAAGAGTAAACCAAATGTGGAAACATGTAACTGGTCCTGTATGTTTGGGGAAGTTGAAGTTCCAGCTACTGTTTTAGCTAATGGAATTCTATGCTGTCAAGCTCCACCTCTTGAAATTGGACTGATCCCTTTCTACGTAACTTTTTCCAATATATTTGCTTGTAGTGAAGGTACCAGAAAGTATATTAAGTTGAAACGTAAGACAGATGCTGATCAATCTAGTTCTGGAACTCCTAAGAAATCAAAAACTGAACATGTTCCCTATGCTGATAAACAACCGAATTCTGGCACGGGCCTTGGGAAGGTGGTTCTAAATGCAAGAGGCAGTTTACCAACAAAAGCTAGCAGAAAGGATGTGAGGAAGTATGATGATTTTGGCTTACCCATTGATGATGATGATAGCTTACTAGTTCCTGAAAAGAAAGAGGGAGATCAGGCTGAAGTCACTTCTGGTGTTGGCTCGATGAATGTGAAGAATAGCAGTAAAAATGGCAGAAAGAAAAGGCACAGAAGAGTGGATGCTTGATTATGCACTTAGACAGGTTGTGTCCAAATTAACTGCAGCCAAGGAAGGATCAATCACTGGAATTCAATGGCACTGGTACAGAAAACATGGCATAATATCATGCTTGCCAAATTCTGTTGGTGATTGTTGCAAATGTGCTTGATGGAAAGAAATTAGAGTCAGCTTCTTTGTCCCTTCTAGATGTTGAGATATCTTCCTCAATCAAATGGGAAAGAAGTTTATTGAGAAACTGAATGTTTATTATCAACCCATTTTCTGGGCCATATATTCGGTGCGTCAACTAGACCCAACCAGCCAAACCCAGTTTGATAACCCGAATGATTCAAATATGGAAGAGATGCCCGTTGTACTGACAAGGGTAAGTTTAAAACTGAGCTGCACACTAATACAAACGCTAGCAATCAACACAAGACTAAGCTTGGTGGGAAGGCTGAAACTTCAAAACGGCAATTTATCTAATCAGAATAAAGAGTCGGTACAAGTTGAATTAACTGACAAATGGTATCCTAATATGCCATTTTTGGATGTTCCTTTGTTAAAGCAGCTGGCTGCTGAAGGAATTGTTTGTAGGACAGAAGCTGGAAGAATGGGAAACAGAAGGTTAATTAACAGCTCATCAATCTCCTCCTAACAACTTTATAACTCTCTAACTACCTCCAAACAGAATTCCCAACTAGCATAACCACCTTATAACCAACTCTCAATCTCACCCTTCAATCCCTAACAAACTCTATCCAAATAAATGGTCCAGATTGATTCCCACATAACCGTTTCCTCCCACAACTACCTATATAATCCAAACCCCCTCCAAGTTTTGAGGGGACGAGGCCACTCTCTCTTTTCCAGTTTCAGAACTTCATCATTGTATCAGCTTCAAAACAACTTCTTCCCTCTCCATCATTCACTCTCAATTTTTCTGAACTCTCATAATCTTCAATTTCCCTTCTCTAAACTCCGTCTTCACCTCCACTCTCCATTGTTCGACCTTCAGTTAATTCTCAAAGCTTCACTTCTCTCTGATTCATCATACAAAGTTCATTTTTCTCAACTCGCGATAATCTTCATAATTGTCATCATTTCCGCTCTTCTCCTATCGCCAACGCACGCAACTCCCAGACCAAATAAAAAGTGAAGACAGTGAGGAGAGAATCAAGACGAAGCAGACAAGATCAAGAAAAACAGTAACTGTATTACTTCACCTCTGGATTTCTGAAGCGCTACCAACGTGCCTTCGATAGGTAATCCTCAATCTTTTTCTTTTTACGACTTTTTTTTGCTTGGTCTGTACCATAACCGCGAAGGATAAAATGCGGCGAATGATAAATCCACCATGTAATCTTGACCGGAAGAAATGTAGAGCTTAAGTTTTGTTGTTAGATTCAGAATAGAGGAAGAGAAATTGACAAAAGCAAGCAAAGGAATCGAATTCAGAGGGAGACGTTAGGTGGTGTTAGCAAGAAAGTTGAATCGGAACAGGGGAGAAGGGGTGGAGTCATGGCGGCATCGCCATTGTTGTTGTCGACATGTAGAAGAAAGGCTTTCTGCCTGGAAGGGGTCGTTTTACAGCAAACGTCGTCGTTTTGGAGTTCTTTTATTTCTTTTTCTCCTTTTATTATTATTCATTTATTTAATTGTTATTTCAAATATTTAAATCAAAAAAAAAAGGAAAAGAAAAGAGGAGAGCTTATTATATATTTTTTATTATTTTGCCTTTGGAAATTAATTCATAATTATTCGGTTACTCGAAACTGGTAATTCACTTTGCTCGTCAAGATTCGAGTCTTATGCAGGTTTTTATATGGATATGTTCGAGATGCCGATTTTGATTCATTTTCACATTAAAATATGCTTCAGTAATGGGGTTTCTGACTCTTTTCTTTGTTGGTGCTAGCAGCTCGCAAGAACATCAAGTATCTTTGCTTTTTCTATTTTGCTCTACGGGCTAGTATCCGTTTGGTATACTTTCTTTCTATTTTACCTCGCATTTATCTTTTCCCGTAGATCATATGAAGTGTGATAGAATCAGGTTTAGGCTAGTCTCCCTATAACGTTTCTTTCCCTTTTCGCATATGCATTTATAATAACAAAAATTTCTTTTTTTACAAAACTTCAAAAATACCAAAAAAAGGAAATTTACTGACAAGAACCACGTCTTGGCTAAGTTTGAGAGATGATAAGCGGGTTTCTTCTCGACCTTATTATTCTCTTGATCTAAGCTTTGGTATGGTTCAAGCCTCAAAGACTCATTTCATGAATAAGTAGAGACATGGCTAAAATCTCTCCCTTGAGATTAACTAGTTATTCTCTACAAACAAAAAACACCAACAAACATAAAATTCTTTTTGCCTTCGAGCCTTCCTTTCAAAAAACCTTTTTCAAAAGAGCATATTAATTCACTTCTGTGCTGACGCGTAAGTCTCCAACGGTCGAGTTGCGGCAGAAGGCGAAATTATTATCGTTCATTCAAAAACAAACAAGTTCAAACCTTTTTTGTCCGTCCAGGCACATCTTCTCCAAATATTTTCAGAGAGCATGTTAATTCACTTCTGTGCTGACGTGTAAGTCTCCAAAGGTCGAGTTGCAGCAGAAGGCGAAATTAATACTGTTCAGTAAAAAAATACAAACAAACAAAAACATATAAGCCGAACTACGGCTGCTCTGATTCCTTAAAACGGATACGTAGGCATTGGGGTAGGGCCCAGGCGAGGACAATTTTATTTTCCCTACATTTTCCCCCCTTTCTTTTGCATGCATTCCCTTCAGTAGTATAATAAACAGTAAGCGTAGATTGAACACACCCATAAGATAAACAACAAGAGTGGATACCGTAGAGTACTACGGGCGTGTGGGGTGCTAATACCTTCCCCTCGCGTAACAGACTCCCTTACCCGATCTCTCGGTCGCAAGACCGTGACTTCTCCCATCTCAGGTTTTCTCGATGTTTACCTTTCCCTTCCTGTGGGATAAAAGACGTTCGATGGCGACTTCATTGTTTTGATGATTTTCAGCCGGTTGTTTCAAAGGGGTAATGGACAAACCTTGGTTCCATGAAGTTAAAAGGTATCTCGAAGCTCAAGAATACCCTAAGGGGGCATCTGTCAATGATAATAAGTTTCTGAGAAGGTTCTCTGCGAAGTTCTTCCTCAGTAATGGAACCCTCTACAAGCGCAACCACGACTCTACTTTACTCTGGTGTGTAGACAAGAGCGAAGTAGAGAGGATTATGGCGGATTTACATGAAGGTACCTTTAGCACCCATTCTAGTGGACACACCATGGCTAAAAAGATCCTACGGGCAGGATATTATTGGTCCACTACGGAAGCAGACTGTTATCAACATTCGTGGACTTGTCACAAGTTCCAGATTTATGCTGATAAGGTGCACATACCTCTGGTTCTTCAAAACATCTTGACTGCTCCTTGGCCCTTTGCAATGTGGGGCATTGACATGATCGGGGAAATCAGACCTATCGCTTCCAATGGGCACCGCTTAATCCTTGTTGCCATTTATTACTTCATGAAGTGGGTCGAGGCTGCCTCATTTGCTTCTGTTACCAAGAATGTGGTGGCGCATTTCATCAAGCATAACCTTATTTGTCGGTATGGTACCCCTGAAAGAATCATCACAGATAATGGTACAAATCTCAACAACACTATGATCACCGAGCTCTGTAAACAATTCAAGATCCAGCATCATAACTCTTCTCCTTATCGGCCGAAGATGAATGGCGTTGTGGAGGCTGATAATAAGAACATTAAAAAGATCATACAGAAGATGATGGTGACATATAAAGACTGGAATGAGATGTTACCATTTGCTCTTCATGGTTACGACACCATAGTACGCACATCAACAGACGCAACTCCTTTCTCTTTGGTATACGGTATGGAAGTTGTCCTACTTATTGAGGTCCAGATCCTTTCTTTGAGAATCATGAAGGATGCAGGCTTGAATGAAGATGAATGGATCTAGACCCGACTTGACCAACTGAACCTGATTGATGAAAAAAGACTTGCGGTTGTTAGTCATAGTCATATGTACCAAAAGCGTATGTTCAAGGCTTTTAACAAGAAAGTCAGACATCAGGTATATCAAGTTGGTGATCTGTTAATCAAGCTCATCATTCTTCCACATGGTGATCCCAGGGGAAAATGGACTCCCACGTAAGAAGGGCCATTTGTAATAAAGAACATGTTTTTTGGTGGAGCCATGATCTTAACCACTATGGACGGTACCGACCTTCCTCACCATGTGAATAGGGACATAGTTAAAAGATAATATGCATGAATAAAGGCCCGCTAGGTTGACTAGCCTAGGCAAAAATAAGGGCATCCCGGCGAACCAAAAGGGTTCGGGCAAAAATTAGGGATAAATACAAAAAAAAAATTGTACACCCGGTAAGTCAAAAACCTGAAAAGGCGGCTTGGGCAAAAAAGGGTATCTCGGTGGACTGAAAACCCGAAAGGGCGGTCCAGGCAAAAGTTAGGGATCTAAAGCATATAACTATGTCCCGTTGGATCACCTTGCAACTAGACTTCAGTATCAACTATCAAGCTCAAATGGTACCAATCAATCCAGTCAACTTCGGACAAGTAGAAAAGTGATGAGACGCTCGAGGACTTAAGGGCAATAGCATAGTTGAAACTCAATGGGATTATTACACATAGTTGTTTTCTCTTTGTATACTATTTTGTATAGTTTCCATCTTTCACAACGGCATTCTCCTACTAGAATGTCAGTCTCTTTATACAAAAAACACCTATTATAGGAAAACATCAAAATCAATACAAATCATTTCTTTGAAATTACAAAACTTTTTGTTTTGCAAAAACGTCCAGTGATTATTTCGACATATGCATCTGAATATGATTACTGTTTACGAATACTTGCATAAAAAACAGAAAGACGGTTGCTAATGACTTTAAGAAATGGGACAATGCCTAAAAAGCCATATGTAGTCCCCACAGTTATGTTCTCCAACAGGTACAAAGGCAGAGAT